GCCGATAGGTTTATAAAAGAATAGTGTCAACTAAGAAATGCCCATAAAGATTACGAAAAAGACAGGAACGGATATGAAAATGAATTATTAGTTAGGAGACACCACATTTTACAAAAATAAAACATAATACTTCAGAACAATTTTATAAAACCATCGAAGGGGTGTGCGATAGACTTACCTCCACGTGGTGCACCCTGGGCAACGTATAATCATACGGCAAAAAAGTCTATTAACCGGCAGTCGACTTCTCACTTCAAACTGCCACGACCTCACTGTATGGCATGTTTGACCCCTTACACAGTACTCACTTCACCTTTCATCTACCTTTGTGTCTGTCTGCCTCTTTTACATCTGTGAATCGCTCTTCTGTTCCCCACCCCTCGCCTTTCTTCTACTTCCCCCTATGAAGCCCGAAGTCAGCTAAATGGTTAATGATAGTTATCAAAACGCCTGCCATTTGAAATAAATAAATATAAAACCATCGAAATACCATACGTTAATAGAATTTGGAATTGTTCTTTTGGCTTCAGAAGCACGCAAGTACGATTTTTTAACCATGTTTACGTATTGATAAATGAGGATACAATAAAAAATGAAAGCGGAAAAAAATAGGTAAAGCTTAGAAAGAAGGGCAAACTTAAGTTTCCACAAAAAAAATAGAATACGAGAAAAGTAATACATACATACATACCCAACAAAATAGGTAAACCCTCCACAAATAAAGCAAATCGAATATTTAACCCTTTAACGCCCTAAGGATAGTACGGTCCTCTTTCAAAATAAGCCTCATTTGTACCAGACTCGTAATAGAAGGCGATAGTGCTGTGTGAAACATGTTCAATACGCCCACAGCCATCGTTTGATACTTATCATATAGGCATCAGTCTGCTGTAAGACACGCGTGACTGCGGTTGGATGCATTTTCAAAAAATAATTAGGGAGTTAAATGGTTGATCAATTATTGGTCTTAGTCTACTAAGCGCAGCATAAAATTATTTTATAGCGCTACTTAAATAGAACAGTAGTGTTGATATTTTAGACAAAAAAGCGTTGAATGACTAACCGTTTTACGAGATTGGAGGACTGCTGGCATTCAAGATAATTGATGATTTGCTTGTCTTCAGGACACAGCGCCTGCACCACAAGATGACTCTTTAGACAGGGCGTGCAGAAAGTGTGGCCACATTTGGTATCTATTGGATCCACCAGAGGCTGTCTGCATATCTGCAAAGGGAGACACAAATAGGAGGGTATTACAACTATAAAAGAAACTATAAGTTTAAATGCTTAAACCTTTATTCTCTTCGAATATGCATTTTTTGACAGAGTACAGATGCCATGTAAACATTCTAACATTAGAAATGCAAGCAACAAGACTATGAACAGTTATGTGCCTCAATAAACGTCGGGGCAGAAAAAAATTGAAAAAAACTAGAGGTTGCAAGAAAGTATAAATATTGCTAATGAAAGGGCAACTTTTCCCAAAAAAAGCAAATGCCTAAGCACGCGTTTAAGGAAATTCGTCGATAATCTTATTAAAAATTGATAGAATGCCCTACGCGTTGAAGTACAAATGCCTAATTCCAAGTAGATCAAAGCAAATCTGAATGAAATCAAAGGAAAACTGAAACTATCCGCGTAAACAAAGGAGAGCGGATATGAAAAAAAGCAAGTGGGTAGTGGTGGCGTGTGACTATTTTTGATTAAATTTACTGGAGCGCTCCTAGTTTCGATTTGGTTCCAACACTAATTTTATTGATTTACTTACATCAATGGTATACTTTACCTTGAGGTTTAGCGTGTTTTATGAAAAAAAGTGACACTAACAAGTCAAATGCAATTTTCGAGGGTAAAATTGTTTTTTTGCATAACAGTTCCAACAAGAATCTTAACAGCCGCCTGAAATGATGGTGATTGAAAAGCTGAAGATTGAGAACATGGCTGCGATGGTAGCAATGAGGATAATATGTGCTTAATTCATCAGCATATTTTTAAAATAGACACTAGACACTGACAATAGATTTACCTCTGGAGCCGGCCAGATCAAAGTAGGGAATTCATCATAGAGAACTACTGGTCTTCCCAAAAGCTAGTAGAATATAATAGCCTTTTCAAATTCAGATTGGTAGGAGTTAAGTTAAACCATAGTTCCAGTGGGCAACCCTGAAGGAGTTTGAAATTGGAAGAGAAGGGAATCAGCCTCAAATTGAGTTACGCCAGGTAGACTTGACCCTATTGTACCCATTGACCATCGGATGAGGAAACAATAGAAACCACTATCTGATAACTAGGGCATCACAGACGTGATTCAGCATTTATGTTCGGTAAAATGCCACATCGCCAATACCACGAATTCGAACGATTGAACTGCTTCCAGCTTCCAAAGAATAGAACTGACTGATAAAATTCTAAACTCACTAAGTGTTTGGTGCAATTCTGGAGAAAGAAGATAAAAAACAACAAATATCAACCAGGAAATGACAAGAAAATGTCCTCTCCCAGAAACACCAATATACAAAATTCCTCTCCACCTCCCTCTTTACAAATTTAGTGCCATAAAGCCCAGCATAGAATTATTTGACAAGCATGGCGTATATTGAATTTGGGAATAAATGAAGGCCACGAATAAAGACCGCTTTTTTAAGAGTGCACACCATTGAGCAGAAAAGCATGTTGAGACTTTAGCGGACTGAGTAATGTTTACAATCAGATTTCTGTAAAATGTTAAAATTGGCAATTAGAGAAGTTTGCAACAAATGGATACTTGTCAATAAGGCCCGAAAGGCACTAAATTACGGAAAGATCAAACGCAGATACGAAAACAAGATCAAAGCCATAGGTCCCCTTGTTTTATCTTAAAACAGTTAAAGGAAAGGCCATTCTAATATTCTTTAAGACAAAAGGGATGACGTCTGGAATCTTGGTTCATTCAGTACCAATGTTCAGGAAATATTTGACAGTCTTACATCTGTTCTAGAAGTCATATCTTCGTGAGGTGATATTCAAATTAAAATAATCTTAAACACATCAGACACCTAGGTATTTATGTTAATAACATTTAAAGAATAGCATAAGTGACACAATTTGTGCTCTAAAAAGAATTTGAGTTCGATGCGGCAAGGTGAGGAGCTATGATATTAACCTCGGCCCAGCCTTGACCAGGTGGGAGTATTGATTTCTCAATAATCGTCCACTCGTCTACTTATTAGTTAGTATAAGTGCTCTACCACTTCTAACCACCAGACACTTCCAAAGTACTCTTATTCTTGAGAAAGTACGTTTCGAATTCTTTCGAGTTTACGCATTCCAATAATAAGCATCTAAAATAACGGAAAATAACGGGTAACTGGAGGAGCCTTGTAAGGGGCCTATTTTAACTTTGCTAACTCAAGCATGTTGTCAAGGCAGTAGAAGTACTTTGACGTGAGAAAATTACTTTATCAAGCATTTTCTATATTTCACTGTCTGTGGAAGTCCAAGCCATAATAATTTGTGTTTTCACCCTTCGATTTTTTTTGTTATCTGGAACTAGGGTATCGGCCCTGTAGATCGTAAAACATGCTATAGCCCAGTAAGCAATTTTTGTTTGGAATTTAGCCCAACCCAGGCCAATTACCAAGTCCCCACTACCATTGACGCAAAAAGCCTCAACTACCTCAATCAGACAGAACAAGCGGAACACAACTCTCTCCCCTTACACACACACACACACACACGCGCGAATATCTTCCTGCTAGCGCATAAGCAATTTATAACCTAAAAGCTAAATCAGCATTCTCCTCTCCCCACCCCCCCCCCCCCCCCCCCCCCCTCCCTCTAGCTAATCCATACCTAATAACAAATTAGCTAAATTGAGGGGAAAAAATCTCCACTAACCCAGTCTAAAAAATTTTCAAAGTTAAGTGGTCACTATTTCGACTAGGATAAGTGTCCAAGTATTCACAGCCAAATTACCACGTGATTGAAAAACTGTGCCAAAGTGGAGAAACGTTCGGTAAAAACCACATATAGCCTTCGAAAAGTTGTGTCCCCCGCTTGTACACGAAACAAGACACAATTGACTTTACAAAGAAAACTGTTGTGAATTACCAACAAGAAAATTTATAACCTAAATCAGGACTCTAAGCATAATTAGGCCTTTCCATATTACAAGTTCCAAGCGGGATTAGAAATAGACAACCATGCTGCTCAAATCTGACACGCAGGCTGCACGCACTGTGGACCAATGAGGAAGCCGAACTGGGTGCTCATTGAGAAAATAGGCCAGCTTACTCCCATCATTTGCAGCCTTATGACCCATTCTTAAGAAGAGAATAACGAGTCTCGGATTACTATTGATGGACAAAGAAAAGCCCACTGTTAAAACGATGCGAATTTTGCCCAAAAAAGTTTGCAATTTATTAACAATGGAGGCTGATTAGATGTTGATTGCTCACCCGAGAAAAGGCATCAATACTGGGGATGTGGGTTGTGTTTGGTTTCAAGTCAATAGACTCAAATTGGGGGAAATATAAAGAGAGGAAACTATTGATTAGACTTTACTGATGCAGTGGACACTTGCTCAAATTACTCTTTTGCTTCAATGAATTCTATCGCAGACGAGATAAAAGGTGATCAAGACCGTAGATTGTACGTACGCAATAGGAGGGGGGGGGGGGGGGGGGGGGAGGGGGAATAAAAGACCACTCCTCGTGGCTATTTAGCCACAGAAGTGTACAGATAGTGAAGAAGTGAGAATTAAATAGAATGATGTCGCTAAGATAGACTTTCCGCAAAGTCACTACAAATGACCGACAATAAGGGCACAGGCGAATGGGAAAGTAAAATCATGAAAATAATCAAATATTACTCTTCTACGAAACAAATATAACAAGATACGATTTGGATATAATAATCTAAGGCTTTAAGCATTACAGCTACCAAAATAAAGGAAGGGAAATGAGAAGAAGCATTTCTTGGGAGGGGCATGATAACTCAGAAGGTAGAGTTGCAAATTGCTCCTTTTTGGGAAATGTGAGGAGATCATTTCTGCCGAGGAATAGTCTCCAAGATGATTGGGAGAGTTGTAATATAATTTTCAAGAATGTAGACTCCACGGTCACATATTTCATGGCTCAATTTCCAATATGAAGGAAGTCTGCAGAAAGTGCAGCGATTCTCCCGTTTTTAAGTCAAATAACTTGTATCTGGATAAATTCTCTGCCATAGTAAGAAATAGTTCAAGATTTTAATTTATGAACGTGACCTGCTTGCTCACAACACACACTGGGAATATTATTTTTGTCAAGTACCAACTATCCATCCATCTGAGGTGTCTTTCCCACAGCCCTAACCTGAGCATCATTGTTATTAAGGCACAGCCAAATATTTAGGGCATGGATTCAGTCTGACCCCTTAATTAACCGCTGGAAACACCGATACTCCCATGTCCCATGTATAACCAAATTTAGCTAGCCTAAGGAGAGTAGCTTTCGGCATTACCTCCTTGGGTTCAGTTTACCAACTCTTGTCCTTATGGTTTGAAATGAACCATTGTATTCTGCTATGGCAACTCAATCAGATTATGGAAGTAGCCTCACCTGAGATAATAACTATTTTTAAAGATTGCATTTGATTTTGCATGTGTTTCAAGAATGGGCAGCTGCTGTAGTCCCATTCTCATTTCAATAAAACGTACAGTTTAATTATTTGAATATGCTACAATTTCTCGAAATAACAAACAGCAAGAGAGAGCCTGTTGTTTCCTTTCTTGATGTAAATCATTGCAAAAATGCAACACCAACCATCGATACGAAAAGGAAGATTGTTTATCCAAACCAATGGGACAAGTAGTCCTAATGAAGCAATTCAGCTTGGCCCATCTGCCTATGGTGTAATAAAATTTATAGTTCATCGACATACAGCCACCCATAAAGCACAAGTGCTAAGAGATTATCATCTCCAATATTATTATTAATGGGAACTACCTTTAATAGATCAAAGTAACCTAAATCAAGTGCTTGCTTATAAAGTACATCGAAGTAGGAGATTTACTCTTGACCATAACAACGAAGCTCTAACAACTCTGCCAAATAGCAAGGGGGGGATATATACAACACCACAAGTTATCGAATTCACCTGTGAAATGTACGAGATTAAACAGTATAATAATAGGGAATTCATGAAATCATTATCAACATTAGAAAACCAAAGCATTTCGGAGCCGGCAAATTGGTTCTAAAGAAAATTAACCCAGATGACTACGATTAAAAAGTGCAAACAAGGACGTATTGACGAGTATGAACGTCTGGTCACCCCCCAAGGAGGTCATGAATGCGCAATACACCGATGCATTCTCGATTAAAATATTGATTACCCTGCATATCTTCAGTGGTAATACCCTCTAGAGCAAACTTAATGAGCTAAATAGTTAACCTCAATGATGGCATAAATCAGGCTGGATCTGCGAAGTCACTTCCCAAGAAAAGAGCTGAAAATGTTTACTCAAATGTATTAGAACGTTGGAAATAACTTACATGAACAGCTCCTTCTAAGACAGAAAAAACTGCACATTTATTTAAACCCTCCGAAGCAGAATGTCATAAGAGAAAACGCCCCAAATTTACAGACAGAGTGGCTGCCTATTTATCAGCTAGCTCCCGATAAAAGTGAACCATAGCACCTTAACTTTAAAACGGATAAATGATTTTCTAGTGGCTTACACTATCAATAGTACCGAAGAATGAACTAGTATATAGAATGTCCTTTGCCCAATCAGCGGCCTTAAACGTGCTTTACCACAATCTAAATATGTGAAAAAAACAAGTCTTTGATCAACAGACAACAATAGCACCGTGGTTAAATAGAAATCTGATGACCTTAACTACTTGACACTGAAATATTTATGAACTGCCTACATCAACTAGCGATAAAATGGAGTCCAAATAGATAATTAAACGACAACAATCGAAATTCCAATGGCTAAATTCAATTAGCGTGAAATTTGGAATAGAGGACAAAAAGCGAATGGTGGGGGGGGGGAGGGAGGGAGGGGGGGGC